GTTGATCTTTAAAATGAGACCAAAATCATGTCTGTATCTATCTTACTTTTGAAGTTACAGAACCAGTCCCGGTACTTTTGGGACACCCTACGTATGATATTTTTACTCTACACATATGCCCGAATACGCATCATAAGGGACCTATGTGCTTCCTAAGTTGCCAAGTATTAATTATTGTTAGATTATTGGTCTAAAACATTCAATACAACCAGTAAAAATTAGCTGTCCCCTACGAGATTCGAACCCCCGCTCGCACTAAAAGTGACATTCTCCCAGGGTCAGAACAGTGGCTTAGCTAACTGAGCTATCTCGCCGGTCGGATGTTGGTGGAGAAAATGAGAACAGTTAAGTGATCTCGGACGCTGAGCGGGGCTTCACAAAAGACGTCCTTGAGATTTCAACGGTTCGGCCACTGGCGTGATAAGAGACAAATGGATCAAGCGCATTACTCTGTGAGACATTGTTTACCTATGCGGTCATGTGTCACAAGGTTCATCTCAGTATGCATATGCGATCGCGGCAGTAAGCTGAGGCAATATTTCTGTATTCATGGATTAAATCCATCAATCGAGTTCTGATTTTGGCTCATATATCCGTAACGGGTCCTCCAGAGCAATTTTCCACCTTGTACGATGGTTATTATTTCTTTACATCTATGTTTAAAATTTGAGGTGGGATAATGGCGGCTTCTCAAGAGCAACGAGGTAGGCGATCTTTTGCACCAACGAACAGAAAACTGATGGCGAAAAATAGCCAATGAAAACCTCCCAAAAAAAAGAATTTGCCTAAAAACGGAACTTCGTGGTTCTGCGCAGATTTACCAGTCAGACACGACATCTCAAGGTGGAAAAAAACTCGCTGAAAGCGAATTTTAGAAATCAACACAACTTGACGTAGAGACATGATTGGCTAAAAAATACAACGGTTTTTGATACATCGGAAAATCAACCAAAAATCGGAGACTGGGCGAAACGCTCAAGGTCGCAGAGGTATAGGGAATCCCATTGCGAAAGCAACGGAACGATTGTAATATCATGGGGAACTCCGTTCCCATGACAAAAAAAAAACGATTTAGGGTTGAAAATACAGACTTACGGGTTTCGATGCCAGAAGCTCTCCAACACCTTCAAGAACATCAGGTATTCACATTATTTACGGTGCTGAATGCGTTCGTTTCTATGGCTGGCAACAATGGTGACACACTTTCATTTTGCGATTCTCAACGATTTATAGCTTTTCTCCGCTATAATTATCAGTTTGAGTCTATATTAAGTTCTTTAATGAATAAATTCAGTGTATCTTTCTATGGTCTGAGACTTCTGGAGTTTCTCCGTCTCAGGGTATTTATAATTCAACGAATTGGATTGGCAGATTTTTCATAGTCGAATTTTGCATTTTTACAAAAGTTAAGCCAAGGTAAGTTGATATTATGTTGTTTTACATAAGATTTTACTATCATTACTTGTTTCTCATGCTAAGTCTTTCCAACGATTTCCTTCGTTATAATCGTCTTCAAAAGCAGATTCCATTGGTACACATACGATCATGAGGTATGAAAAATATGGCTTTTTCAACCAATGGTTTCTTTTGTTTACCAGAATTTACTTTTCATCAGTAGAATTTTAATTTACTTGGATTTTACGTTGAGACATACTAATATTTTCCAAACTATACATCAATAAAATTTTAATTTTAGTAAAGAAGTAAAGTGACTTGCACGTAATATTTACAATTTGATCGTGACATTTGGCTTTTTATTTAATGAATCAATCATTTTAAAAACCCTAATACACCGAGTCTTGTTGACAAGAATGGCCTCTGGATCGTTCATACTGTCCCTGACTTTTACCCTCGCCTTATTACAAGATCAACATCGATCTTCCCAAGCCCCAAACAGGAACGGCCGGCCGGCCGGCCCTTTTCAAGGAACTGGGGAGGCTAGAGCGCCTTCAGTTTTGCATGTATGCAACACGGCCATCCTGAAGACACGAATAGTTGCATCCAGGCATTGACATATGCAGCACAGTCGCCGCACGCCAGTCGGTCACATCCTCGAATCGAGATTCTTATCCTGCTCGCCATACGAGGTCTGTTAGATTAGAAACCGGATTTTGGTCATAACTAGCCCAAAATGCGTCCAAATTACGTTTTCTTGAGCTTTTCTGATAGCTGGAAATATACTTAAAAACGCTACGTTCACAAGTTTGAAAAATCCTAATTAGCTTCGTTGGTATGTGGCTTGAAGTAAGGCAACCTCAAGGGTGTTTTGCGATTTTTATGTTTCACCGAACTTGTCTCTCTTTTCTCGGTCTTGCACTACATTTTTCAACCCACAAGGAGATTGGAGTTTCGTCTCCATATCGTAGCCTTACACTAAAGTATTGTCACCGAAAATTATCCTATCCAAAAATGTAGGATCATTGTTAGAACGTTCAAGCAGCTAAAGGGAAATTGACATGTGGTTGGATTTTCGTTCAACGGACAACAATCAAGGGGCAAGTGTACCTGAAACTCAATGCGTGTCTACATATTCTATCAAAATTGTATGTACAGAGCCTTCAGAAATATTACTCTGTTCAACAAGCTCGAAACGACCGTTTTCGAACACTTTTGCCCGCATTTCTTCCACGTGACAAATGTCAGTTGCCGTTGAGGGTCGATTCCCATGCTCCTCATCTTTGACGAACTCCTGACCAGTTTTGAATCGTTTAACTCATTCAAAACAGTGGGAACATCTCATACAATGATCATGGTAAACTTTACTTAGCGGATACCAAAAGTTTCGGTACAAGGTATACCGAGTTTAAAACAAAATTTAATGTTGAATCTTTGCTCTATCAGTGATCGCATGATGAAAATCGCAAAACGCACCTGACTTACTTGTATTCAAGATGACACAGAATAAACACTGATCAAAATAAACAAAATCTGTGAACGTAGCGTTCTTAAGTATATTTCCAGCTATCAGGAAAGCTCAAAAAAACCTAATTTAGACGCATTATGGGCTAGTTATGACCAAAATCCGGTTTCTAATCTAACAGACCTCGTATCTTTCCATCCTTTCAAACAGAATTTTTTACCCCAATCCTCTCTCCATGCATTCTTTCCACATCATCTTCAGGATAATATTCTAATCATTATCAAGGCGAACGGATCAGAATCTAAGGAAGATTGCAATCTACTCGATACTTTATTTTGATAAAATGTGTAGTCAAGGGGAGCTCGGGTGTGGTCAAGGAATTTAAAAAAAAAATATAAAAGCCACAGGGACTTTTGTCGTAGTTATTGGAGGTAGAGAGAGGACCGTACAACGACGCGGTGTGTATTTCTGTGTGAATGGCCCAGAGATTTTATTTTGTTGTTATTCTTCTTTTTTAAATCAGGAAATTTCGCCAAAATTAGTTTTGAAGTCAGGCAAAGTCACAAAATTTCAATATTTGAGTTTTCACCGATTCTTCACCAATTACAAGGTTAACAGTGGGTAATTTTGTTAATTTCAATTTTAACCCACCTGTCTCTGAGGTTTTGAATCGCATACAATAAATGAGAACTTTGCCATTGCTTTATAACCTCTCCGCGGCAGTTTCTCATCATGCACCAAAAATATTTTTAAATAATTCTCAACCTCCAACTCCAATCAGTTTTTATCGTTTTCCCCTAAAATTTGCCCTCAAAGTCAGATTGTTTTCTACCCAAACGATTCAATTTCAGAACGTGGAAAATTTTCGGCGATGATATTTGACGGTTTGGAAAACAGGAGAGATAGTGCACCGACACAAAATGGAACGCGCTTCAAAAGCTAGGATAAGAGGTGCAAATCCGTGGATAGAGGAGTGGTGGAGGGGGGAGGGGCAACATTGGAGGGGAAGCGTGGTGGATGAAAGTAGACCACGGCTGGAGGCAAATCTGCCATTTCTGCGAGGAATTCTTTGATTTTCTCCCTCAAGACACTGATTTTGGAAGATTTCCTAGTGCTTTAAAAAATGCAGCAGAGTAAGGCGGCAAAGTATTGTACACCGGAGTAATCGTTCGCTCCGCTGCGCCGAGCTCAGAGGCTGTAAGTTTCGGATATCACCAATCCGGGTGCGATTAGCTTTTTCTTCATCCTGGCAATTTGACAACATTCGGTAAGTTTATTTAAAATCAAAATTGGTCAAGACAGGATTTTTTATCAGGATTTAAGTAGAGAGAATTAGTACATCTTACCAACTCGTCGGATCGATAGGTGGCAACTTTTAGCTCAATGCGAAGAGATACTATTTTCACGATTACTAAGGAAAACGGACGAATTTTACGTGCAAAATCGCAACATTGGGGAGGGTGGTAAGGAGGGGGGAATACAGAGACACGGCAAGGAAGATGCCGGCCCGCCTCAAAGAGTCCTCTCGCCCGTTAACTATTCTAGCATCCCCTGTGGGTTTCCTCCCCCTCCCACCGTGGCCCCGCCGTATCCTTGTCCCTTTCACTCGAAAATAATGATGAACTAGTTTTAATTTCCATAATGAAGTGCACGGTGCAGGACGATATTCAGCCACGCGGTTGCCACCGTGCTGTCTCGATTTTGTATTGCTCGTGATCATGACACAGTCTTAATTTTTTAAAAAAAAAAAAAAAAAAAAAAAAAAACCTGATCTCCATGTAGTTTTTGTTACAAGTTTTAACATGACCTTCGCCTTTACTCACACATTTTCCAAGAAAGAGAAATTTTCAATCTAAAAAAATTAGCTTCTGCGGGGCAAATTCGAGTTTCGAGAGAACTGGTATACGAAATAGAAATTCAGCGTCAATAAATGGCGGATTAGAAAGGAAAACAACCTAGAAAAAAGCCTGGCACGGTGCCGATCATGAGTGTCGCACAACAAGCGGACTCCCCGCTAATTTGAAAAATGGCGCGTCAATTTGTATATTCTGCCGCGCGCGGCACTGGAATTGGCGGGAACCAATGGGAGTCAAGATTCGACTTGTTTACATTTGCCCTATTTTGATGAGCAAGTCGTGAACAAACGTGCTTAGTTCTTTATCATCTCGTGACTGTTGTAAATCCTTTGGATAGTTAAAGTTTCTGGAAGTTCTCGATTTGTTGTGCAAGTGCGAAGTAGTTATTTGCTTATGTTAACGACTTCCCTTCAAAGAACACTAAATTGTGTATTATTATCGGTGTTCCCTAGTTCAATTGCCGTGTTGGAGACGAGACCTTCAGCTGTGCTCTCAACATACCTGTAAGTTATCACAAATGATTTATTATTTCCTCCTTGCAGTTTTACTAGCACTGTACTGTTCGAAATTATTGAGGCTTTCGAACTCCAGAAAGCTTCAAACCGTTCATTGAACCGTTCATCAGTTCATTGCTTATTTATCACCAGGTATTCACTTGTCATGTTGTGGTCTACCCAGGTACTCCAAATTTCTTTTAATCAGCATCTCACCAGGTTATTTATACTCAGAGTCACATTAAAGAGGGTTTTCTTAGCTGAGAGGTAGAACATTTTTTGCCTGAAATTATGACTCGGGAAGAGAGTAAGTATAATCTACTGGGTAGTGGCTTCTAGGGGCTGACCAAAGTTTGATCTTCCTACGATGATGATTGATCATGGGTAGAAAGTGGTTGCTTTCAAGCCTCAGGTGTAGGAGATCTTTCAAGAATCGATAACAGGATTGAATTAATTTTCCTTGAAGTCCTGTAGCCTAGGTTTTTATTGTTTGAGCAGGAAAACAGAAGAGTTGATCTAACGATACGCAGGCAGAATAAATTGAATGCTTTACGGCTGTCATGAACATTTACTTTGAACGTCAAAATTGCTAAGTCTTTGAACTTCTTTTAAACAAATCTAGCTTCCCTCTATTGCTCACTGCTCTCCAGCAGAAAGTTAATCTTCACCGATAAAACCTAGTAGAATATACAGAGTGCGTTTCATACCATCTGTACCGGGCTGGTACCAACCCAGCGGTCTCTGACTTTGTATGACCTAAAACAACCAAGAAAAAAGCCTGGTATGAGTGGTCCGGGACACCCTGTACTTACCTGTGTTAGTGACATTGGAAATCTCCATTCCTGTTGGGGGTTTTTAAGTTCAGCCATATTCTTTAACTATTGATTCAGAATTACTTAAGGGGCCGCAATGCATGCGTATTGCGTAACCTCATCAAAATTTCACGCAAAGCATTTTTACTAAAAATGTCCAAAATTGACTGATAGGAGACAGATCAACGTTTATTGCACAAACTAATATTGGTCATTTCAAGCTTCTCCTTCAGAAAAAACCAAAACCGCGCACGGTGAAGGGTTATTAAAAGTAAGCATAAACATTCAATAGATACCACAGTCTGGTGAGAGCATTTCCTTCCTCCTTGGCTACATGATATACCTCGAAATTTCAAGAAAAATTCAGCATCCTGAGTATGTTTTATAAAACAAGTAATGACTGAATTGAACTCAATAACGCTATTGGATCAAGTACACTTATTTTCTTGGCTAGCAAAGAGTTTAAACCGTCGAAGGGGGGGGGGGGGGTTACTTTCTTACGTGTTGAATTCAGAAATTTCCGATGTGCTCACGTTGTTCCTCGTCCAATTCTGATGAGATTTTTTTATAGTTTACATCATGTACCTATGCATTAGAACATACTGCACTCAGGTACACCAGAAACTTTAAGCGCACCATGAAACCACCTTAACACAGAGCCCTAGAAAGAGGAATATTGGTGCGTTGAAATTCCCTCATTTGAGGTAATTTCAGAGATCAATCAAGCCTAGGAATTCTCAAGGAGCATTTCAAATTTTTGGCTCTTAATTATTCAATTTTTTATGCTGTGAATCAGTGACCTATTCTACCAACAAATTGGCAACAATGTTAACTAGTGAACAATTTTTAAGTTGAGATATATTGTCACTTTAAGGAAGGACGTTAAGGGTCGATTATCGATATTATTAAAATTTCAAGATAGGTGCGAGCTTAAGGTGCTTCAAGGTTTGGTTTAGTATGCTGCTATCGTCTGCTCAATACCCGATGGACATTTTCACTTAGACATTTTTTCACCATTGATGCCGCAAGAATATCACAAAACCACTTTAATCGGTCATCTTTTTTTCATGAGTTTCACACATCATCTCACGTATGAAATTCTAAACGAAAAAAAATGAGCCAACCATACGAGCTCTCAGAATCGTGCTTTTTTGAGGGGGGGGGGGGATAATTATTCCCCCTTCTTTTTAATTTATACAGGTCGGTCCAAACACTAAGTTACATCCTTCAATATTCAACAGAAATTTCACCCTTTGAGATTTTTGGTACTACATTGGGGCGGAATTTAATGCGACTAGTGCGATGTAGCTCCGATTGTGGCCTTGTTCATACGAAAATGCATTTGAATATCATAAAAACACTCCGTCGTATTTTCACGGATTTCCCGACTATGTCATGTATTTTGGCTCTAGGGCTGAAAGTGCCGTACCTAAAGCGAATTATATCTGATAGCAAAAAAGCACCGCTCATCAGATTAAATGGACGATTTATGTTCAAAGAAACTGTTGCACGCAAACCATATCCTCATAGCTCTTGTGTATGTATGAGCCGCTTTTACGGCGCGCCAGGGCGCTCTGCGACGCCTACTCGCCACAGGAATCTGTCATGGTAGAGATCCTCCAGAGGCTGGCATCTCTCCATCTCTTCACGGATGCCCTTGGGCAACCTGGTATCAGCCATTCTCTGCACATGCCCGTACCAAACCAATTGCTTGGTCATGATATCGTGCACAATCGTCCCCTCAACGCCCATTATCACTCGGACACGTTCATTCCTGACACGCTCTCTCCTCGAAATTCCAGCCACAAATCCATCTCTGTTCACTTCTTCACTTATCTGTTCGTCCATCCACATAGTTCTTTCCAACATAAATACGTTCAAATGGCAAAGTCAATGCAAGGAGTGGTGAATTTCACCGACATTTTTTAAGCGAGTCCTAGGAAAATGATTTCCCGGCCCAAGGCGGCGACGTCGCGAACCTTTAATCGGTTTAGTTGCCTCAGGTGCATGATATACGAGGGAATCCTAGCGGATCCGACTGGAGACTAGAGTGCAAATATTGACAGTCATAGTAATAGTAGGATCCATTATCTGCTCCGACGAAGCTTTTGCTTGCGGCTGCATTTTACAACTCGGGCACGAAAACCGGAGAGAGATCTCGCTGAAACACGAGTACGATACGACGCGTTCAAATTTAGAATAAAATGTGATCAGCCGCGGAAACAGGAGACATCGAACGCATTAAGCAAAACGGAACCAGCGCCATTACACAGTTGTGAAAATTTTGCTTGTTCACTATTATATAAAAAATCTTCCAGAACAGCAAATGGTTTTTGCGTCCCGCCAAACACAGTTTTACATATAATGCAAAGGAAAATAATTGTGTAAGTTTTAATACCGTACGAAACTTAAGTATTTTTATAAAAAAAGAAGAAGTTGCACAGTTTTTAGAACACTGTAAACACCCTGGTTCCTTTTTGCTAAACGTGATCCACATAATCCATTGAGGCCGAGGATAATTTTTCACAATTTTATAAAAAATGGAAAATTTAATACAATTTCCCGCTTGCATGCTACTGGGGTTCATTTCCTCAGAATTTCATTTCTATAGTTAGATCGCATTTCGTAAAAAGGAACCAGCGGGATTACGGTGCGGTTACAAAAATGTTGCCTCTTCATAACCATCCAAAAAATCTCCCAAAATAGCAAATAGTTTTGGTTTCCCACCAAAAAATTGTCACCATTGAAGGAAAATAATTGTGTTAATTTTAATAATGTACATCTTTTAAGTACTTATAAAAGAAAAAGAGGAGTTGGACGATTTTGAAAACACTCTCAACGCGCCGGTTCCTTTGTGCTAGATGCGATTCAGTTATACTGCTCTTTCTGATAACATGGCAGTGGTTCCGTAATGTTTTTACTTTTTTCTATTTGAAACGGGAATATGTTTTTGAAAGCTTTGATATTTTCTCCGCTGAAATGTAATCCAATGGAAAATGGTAAAATATTTGAGCTCTAATTCCTCACGTACCTCCCAAGTTGGTGGTNTTCTTTAACATTTTTTAAATTGATCATCAAAAATACTTAGCTTAGTTACTACCTGGTGGATTTTTGGAATGAGTGGGGAGGGAGGTAGGTAGCCTCCCTTCCCCTCGTTACGCCCTTGGTTGATTTATAAGTATGTTGAGGACATTAACGTACAACAACACAGAAAAAAATGGGTGGTGCTGACGACAGAACCTTTTGTTCATACGGCTCCCACAGTTTCTTTGTTACACTTACAGAACTTTTCTGTTGTGAGAACAGAACTTCTGTCGTGGGAACAGAGTACTCGGTTCCCACGACCAAAAGTTCTGTAAGTGTAACAAAGAAACTGTGGGAGCCGTATGAACAAAAGGTTCTGTCGTCAGCACCATCCATTTTTTTCTGTGAAGGAGCTCTTGTGATTGAACGAGGCATGTCAGCATCATAAAAAGCCTCTAAAAGTGAACTTTAAACCGGCATAAAAACTTTAATTTTCCCTCCACTCCGTGCAGTTTACCTTGTTGCCGTCGTTAAGGAGCCCCATTAAATATTTCAATTACGCGATCCCCCTTTAATCTGGAGAGCCTCGCCGAACCGAAGTTTCCTGGTATGCTCGAGTTCTGTTTGCTGATACAATTCAAAAAGTTGAGTCGTGGTCATTTTTTACAACTTTTTTCCCGCTCACCTCGAGTGGCCGGTGAAAAGTTCGCACTTTTGTTGTGGTTTAAGATAATATTTGTTGAAAACAAGCTTCGGGATTTCAAAAAGTGGGAGGGAAAAACTTGTTGCGTTGCTAAAGAATAAACGGGAGGTGGTGTTATATCCTTGATTGTTTTTGTGCGCGATGGAATGATTCTCGTCGCGGTATAAAATGGATGAAAGAAAATACTTGAGATCGGTCGTTCGTATTGATATCTAGCTGCGAAGATGACGGTTACCTTTGTTTTATTTGTTTCGCTGTCCCTTGCAAGTCTGCAGCTGTAAGTTCCTTGCAATTTGTAGGCATAACAATTTCATCACGGTGGTAAAATGACCCGGCACTGCTGTCTGCACCCTAATTTAGAAGTTACTTTTGGAAGTCGACGCTCATTATTCGCTAATGATAACAGATCACAAAAGAGTAGAGAGATTGACTAAGCAATCCTGACAAAATTTGAAAAACTCGTCCTTCAA